GCTACAGAATTAGCCCAGGTCTCAACTGCAATCGTGGGGAGCTACTGCAGCTTGACTAGACGTTTAAATTAGTGAAGCCACATGAGTAATTACCCAGAGTTCTGTGGGGCAGGGGGACTCGTACAGTGTGCTTTGAAGTCCATGCTGTCGCGGCCTTGCTGCTCTGATATCTGAGCTAGCTAGATTAGAGCGAGCTCGGCTATGTCTACCTGAGCTGCAGCCACACCCATTGACTGCAGGATAGCCAGACCCTTAGCCTCCTTACAAACGGTGTATTCCATTCTTCTTGACCTGGAAACTGTGATTGGGTTTCCCTTCCCTTCCCAGCTTGAATGAATCATGTTAAAATCAAACACGTTGCGAGAAAGACCTTTTTAAACACCTGATGTTTCTGTTTGAAGCCTTGGTTTGAAGGACTGCTCTTTGCCTTTGTCCTCTCCCTGTCCTCTGCAGCTCAGCTCTGGGTCTTGTTCCTCTGGGGCAATTAATAATAGCACTTAGCAATTACAAGGCGTTTTTCTTCTTCAAATTGCTTTGCAAGCGTTAACCAATGAGCAGCGAGAGCGTCATCTTTTGGCTTTATTTAAAGCAGTGGCTTGCAAAGCCAGTCGGACGTGATGCCGATCACAACACTCCCATATGTACGGTTGGCTACGAAACCGATGTGCCTTAAAGCATGTCAGCCCAATGAGCCATTGGCTCGGGGAGACTGATGGTGGGTGCTTTACTTCAGATACCCAGATCCTGATTCAGCAAAGTACTTTAAGCACATGCTTAAGTCCCATTGACTTGCTTTGCCGAATCAAGGCCACTGATTTGAATGTATTGTCTATGTTCTGTAACTTTTCAAAATGAATAATGAACATTGTGTGTAATAGGTCCCTTGCTGCTATAAAGCTGTCCATGTTTTCCACTAATACATTTATCATTCAAAGGTTGGTGAAAAACCTGAACAGAAGAAAAGAAGGCTGGATTCCTGTCAACAGTTTGCAGATAGTAATCGGCGACTATAGGTTTCGGACTGCCAAAGTCGCAGGTATCATACGATAAACATATATGAAATATTTTCAGAACTGGAATCAGATTTTTATAAACCATGGCTTGCATTTTATTTTGTGTATCAAATTTGGCTATGTAAAACTCAACAGAAAAAAGCAATTAATCATATGAAAGCAGTTCCTCCCAAAAGCTTACAAAAGTAGTACATGACGCCGATGCTCTATTTTGTTGACATTTTAAGAATTTGTTGTGATTTTTAAGACGAAGGCACTGGCAAAATAATGCCAAATATTTAGAAACGTAGATAATGCAAGAGTACTTGGTACTGTATGATGGGCGAAGAGATGGAGTACAGCCATTGAGGGATTTCCATGGCTGTTTTGTCTGCACATTGCTGCAAGTTTGGTCCCCTGGGTGAATATAATATCACCTAGGCAAAATCATGTCACTCTCTAAAAAGATATTCATGCCTGATCCAAAATCCTGTGAAGGGAGTCTTTCCATTTACTTTACTGGACTTTGGACCAGCCCGGATACAGCTTTGATAGGCCTCACCACTTTACTCACAGCTGACTGCTGGCGTTTCCTAGGAGACTGCCCTCTGTGTTGGGTTCTTTGTTGTGTAGGTCCTGCCTATTTCTCTTGAGCTCCTGCTTTGTCGTAGCTTTGCAACTCCTGGGAAGATGGTGCTGTCCTCCATTAAGGAATCTGGATCTTGAAGGTATCATGACAATTACATTCCAACCTATACTGTTTTTGGCTACAAACCCGCCA